ATCATCATCATAATAATAATAATAATAATAATAATAATAATTTGTATTTGATCTGAACTTTTCAGATATGATCTGAACTTATTTTTTCTGGTCTGATCTGATCTGAACTTATTTTTTCTGATCTGATCTGATCTGAACTTATTTTTTCTGAAATAAGTAAAAATAAAGTGAACTAAACAAGGCCTAAGTCTCAGCCCTGCACGGTGCTCTGCCGCTTTGTCCAAGTACAGGGGCAACAATGGTATTTTGCATCACTTTATATTTTAAGTCAGGGTATGTAAATACAGTATACGTATATAAATACACATATAAAAGTTGAAGGTATCTGTTTGAATTGTATTTCCCCGTTTCATCTTCTTCCATCTTCTCGTTTTCCCGCTTTGTGTCGAACAAGAGCAAATTCATCCTTCATTACAATGCCATCTTCTCCACAGTCGTCGGACAAAATTACCAGTTTTCAGTGTGAAAGCCTTGTAATTTCAAATGAAGGGCAGTGGTTAGTTCATAACTGTAATTTACGTAATTAGGGTTTATGTTATTTGAAACAACAATTTGGATTTTTAAAGTTTTGCACAATTAGGGTTCCAAGTAGAGTTGTATGATTACGTAAACGGATAATTATGGCGTTAGTTGTGATTGAATAAGAAAAATTATTAGGTCGAATTTCGAAGTGGGTAATTATTGAAATTTGAGATTCATGAAGTGGGTAATTATTGAAATTTGATGTTCATGAATGAATTGTTTGTAGAATTGGGTGAAGTGATTAATGTTCTTGGTTTTAAACATTTGAATGCATAGGCTCAAAATGTCGTGTAGATTGAACACTTGAAATGATGTAGAGTATTGTTTCAACACTTGAATTTGTCAAGTAGAATATGAATACTTGAATGCATGTGAGTTTTTAAGTTGTTATTATTAGTTCTCTATTGAATTGAATGATCGTTGAATACTTGTTGAATTGAATGGTTGTATAGTAGTTGAAGAAAAGGTTAAATTTATGTAAATTTAATTGAATTGTTGTTGAAATTATTGAATGGTTGTTGAATTAATTGAATATTAATTGAATGCTTGTTGAATTTTTGGAATGGTTGTAGAATACTTTGCTATAGTATTGATTTATTAATGTTCAAGTAATGCAAAGGGCAAAAAGGGTAGTGGTGGTAAAGGTAAAGGTGGTTTGAGTGGTGGTAAAGGTGAAGGTGGCAAAGGCAAAGCTAGTGTGAGTGGTGGTAAAGTGAAAGGAGGGGTGAGAGTTGGGGGAGACATAAATCAGCTATTGACAAAATCTACCAGTTTGGAGATTCATTTTTTCTTTCAACCTCTGATTCATCCTCTGGAGCAATGTCAGAATCGTATTTTGTTTATAAACCTGAATCAAAAAGGGAAGCAGAATCATATAGTGTTGTATCTAGTGCAGATGTTAGTCATTGTTACAACAGTGGTGATGAGGTAATAACTGTGTAATCTAAATAATATTTTAGTAATGTGAATGCAGATAGTTAATAAGTGTATGTCTAAAGTTTGTAATGTTGGTTAATGCAGGTGAAATAGGCCGAACGCAAAGCGAAGTCACGGAAACGTAAAGTTGATCCGATTGTGTATGTGGTGAGTTGTTTGTTCATATGAGATTAGATATTAAAAATTGTTTGAATGGTGGTGTTTATGTTAAAGCATATTGTGTAGGATAATTCCAAAATTGTAGGAGGCATGGTGAAGGAGTCAGGGACAATTATTGCTTCGGTTAAGAGGCAGAAGAAGGTATAGCAGTATGAATATGACATCTGTTTGTCATAGGTTTGTTTTTGGTAAGGCATTATATCACTATGAATATCATAGGTGTTAGAGTTGATCCTCGTGGTATTTTTAAGTTGTAGGCAATGAATGTAAACTGCCTTGTGGAGACAATGGGTAGGATTTTAGGTAACTTTGACGACACGAAGAAGCGTATAGTTAGGGAAATGGGGTTGGGGTCCTTTTTTTATTGTGTTGGAAAGAGGCTGCCACGGACATTGGCATTGTGGCTTTATACTAGAGTTGATGTGAGTACAAGAAGAAGGTTGTTGACTGTTGATGGAAATTCCTTTCCATTAGACCCAATTCAGTTGCGTTGGGTGTTGGGTCTTCCCTACGGTCCAAGAGTTGTACCGACCAAGGTAGTGGACAAGGAAATGGAGGATAGAGTATATGATACCTATAGCACAAGAACACGTTGCGGGACAAGAGGCATTACCAGGAAGACTCTGATTGAATACTTGGAGTCTCCTTGCATCGATGAAAGTGAGTTTAAGAAGGTGTTATTGATGTATGTGTTAAATGTACTATGTTCATCAACATGCTATCGTTTAAAGAAGCAATTCTTACATGGTGTTGTAGTGGCAGACCATGCACCCGAGTATAATTGGTGTAAGTTTGTTCTAGATGAGATAATGAAAGCATTAGGGCAGTTTAGTAAAAGGTTCTTTTTTGAAGTTAATGGTAGTGATGCTAATGGAACACTGGTGGATGTACTTTGTTCTTGGCTGTAAGTATGACTTTAAGTGGAGAGTATAATTGTTGAAGATTACCTTAATATTTGAATTTGATATTTATTTCTTAAAATTATAGGTGTTTTATTTGAATTTGATATTTATTTCTTAAAAATTCAGGTGTTTTATTTAGACAGACTTAATCGCATTCCTCTTAAGTGGGGCGAGTTTCCTAGGATTAAAGTTTGATCTAGGCAGGAGATGAACAAGGCAAGATCTGACGATCAGCTTGATTCTAGTGACTTTGGAAAACGTGGGGTAAGTGTTTATTGGCGGTTTAATTTTGTTTGTTGATATTTATAGTACTATGTAAACTAATTTATGTGAATAAACTAATCTATGATAGTGTGTGGACGTGGCGTATTGGTGGTGGCACCCCTATAAAGCTACGGACTTGTTGCCTGGTAGCACTATTATAAAAATGGTTTTTAACGACAAACAAATTTGTCGTTATAGGCCAAAAAAGAGGTCCTTAAAGTTATTAACGACCAAAAAATTTTTGTCGTCAAGTCGATGTAATAGGTTCCCTCATTATTGGTTATAATTACAATGTTCGTCGTTATCAACTAACGACGACGTAAATACTTGTCGTTAATTATTAATGACTAATAATACTAATCAAGATAACAACGATATACTTTGTTGTCGTAATTAGCGTTCAAATAACGACGAACTATTAGACAATAACAACAAATTATCTTTCATAAAATCATATGCTAATCGTCCGAAATATTTAAAATTATGTTCACACTAAAGTAAACAAAATTTCATAAATAAGGATAAATTTTAACATCAAGCTCCATGTAAGCTGAATACAATATTCATACTATAACACTCACATACTAAAATATCTCAAGTCTAGAATATAAAAAAAAAAAATACACATTAAGAAATAAAAAATAAACTACATAAAATTTCTTTAGAAAAAATTTGTCCAGAATGCCACTTCAAAGGTTCAATCTTCCAAACCTATAGAACAAAGGGGAAAAAAGTATAAGAATCGATATATATATATATATATATATATATATATATATATATATATATATATATATATATATATATATGGTCGGGATCCGGTGAGAACCACCTTCTATGTGAGAACACATCCTATATGTGAGAACCAATCTCAGCCATCAAAATTGTATTCAATACAACGCATGTGATTAATCACATAAAACTCCTAAAATCACACCTAACTGTCATCTCTCTCCACCTAGCTAACTAGCTTCTCTCTCCACCAAGAGCTTCATCAATGGCGCCTAATCAGTAACGTTGTTTCTCATTGCTTCAAATTGCTTCATCAAAGTAACCATAAGCAAGTTCACACCGACCTTGCTCGCCTTACGCTATATTACTAATCGCGATTGCAATCGCTGCTACAAATCAAATTCGCCAGGTTATTGAATTGCATGTTAATTGGATGATAATTTTTTATTTTTTGGTTTGTTCTGTTCTTATTAATTTGCATATTTAATTGCATCAATCGCCAGGTTATGAATTGCATGTTAATTGCATGATAATTTTCGATTTTTGAGGTTTGTTCTGTTCTCATTGAATTGCTTGTTTAATTGCATCAATTATGGATTTGATTGAATTTACTTCTTTGAAATTTTTTGAATTAAATCAACAATTTAGGTTAGATTAATTTGATAGAAATTGAAAATTTGCAATCAAATTTAAAATGAGCAAATGAATATAAAATGAGCAAACCTAACTATTTGTAATAATATAAAAAACATATAATGAGAAAACATAATTAAATTGAGCAAATCCAAATATTTGAGTTGCAGAAGCAATGAAAATGAAAGAGGTAGCTGTAGCTAATGAGCAAATATTTAATTGCTCATTTATCAAATGAGCAAGTGGTTGTGCTTCTTAGATTGAGCACTTCTGTGTGCTATGATAATCTGAAATTACTGTGTGTGTGTGTGTGTAAGTGAGTGTAAGAGTGCATGTGTTAGAGTGTGTGTGTGTGTGTCTAAGAATGTATGGTTTTTGTAGGCAAATATGATATACTGAATGCTATATATGATAGGTTTTGCAAATCATAGTGAAGGGTAGCATTATCAACATTTACTCCTTTTCAAATCATCTAGTTTCTGCTATCAAAGCATTGAGTTCCTTGGTTTTCTTGCCTGCACACAAGCCCCAAACCCCTTCTTCTTGGTCTGTTTCCTGCACACCAACCACACTCCCTTCTTACACTTCCTTATACAAACCTATTCCCCCCTCCCCCCTCATCTTTCTGTTTGCAATTCTGATTCTGAATCTGGTTTAAGATCTATTTTAGATTCTGAAATTATTTTGTGTGTGTGTGTGTGTGTGAGTAAGTGTAAGAGTTATGCTGTAAGTAGTCATTAGTATGGTTAAAAACATGATTCAGCAACAAATATGAGATTTTTAATGAGCTTCCTTAAACTATTTTATGGAATTGTTACTAACCTGTTATTTCTATTATATTTAATGTCAGAAATGATGAGCAACAACGAAGAACTTGACAGTCATTCTAGTACCATCACAAATGTGGCAACTACTCCTACAATAGTAGTTTCTCCTAAAGTAGCACCTTTGCTCACTCCTGGAGGAACAAAAGAATGGCTTCCAATATGCCCCAATGAGTTGAAACCAGCTATAGGGATGAAGTTTAATAATCTTGAAGAGGGCCTTGAATTTTATAAAAGATACGCATTTGTTGTTGGATTCAACACAAGAAAGTCTACAATTAAAAGGCAAAGAAGAAGCAAAGAATTGAAATCACAGTATATCTTATGCAATAAAGAAGGATACAAAGAGAAAAGAAAGCCTACTGTTGAAAAAGATTTAAATAACAACGAAGGAGAAAGCAATGAAGAAAAAACTTCAATCAAAAGGAAGAGACTTGTTACTCGTGTTGGGTGCAAGGCACATATTGTCATAAAGCATTGTGATGATAACAAATTCATAGTGTCACAATTTCATGAGGGACATACTCATGCACTTTATACACCTAGTTGCAATCTCTTCCAAAAAGAAGGAAGAAAAATGAACATATTGCACAAAAAAATAATTGTGAATAATTCTAAGATACGACTTTCAAAGTCTCTTATGTTTCATGAATTCTCTATATGTTTTAATAAAAGTAGTATGCTCTTTTGAAAAATGAGCATTAAATTATTTGCTCATTTGACAAATTGTTTTGTTCTTTAAATAGGTGAATATTGGTCCTGTTGCAACTTTTCGAATGATGAAGGAAATTGTTGGAGGATATGATAACATCGGAGCATCTAAGAAAGATTTCAAAAATTTTCATAGAAATTTGAAAGCATACATTCAAGGAAGTGATGCTCAAATGTTCGTGGATAACTTTACCAACAAAAAGCTAATGTGGAGCGCTTTTTTCTTTGATTTTGAGATGGATGAAGATTATTGCCTTTGTAGAGCATTATGGGATGACCCCCTTTGTAAAAAGAGTTACGCTCTTTTTGGTGATATGGTATCCTTTGATACCACATACCAAACCAATAGGTAATTCATAAAAATCACAATTCATTTTTATGTTATAACTATAGCTTAAATTAATAACTTTGTTTTAAATGAACTTAGTATAACTGTTTGCTTATTTCACAAATGAGCATTGACTTATTTGCTCATTTCAGAAATGAGCATTCAATTATTTGCTCATTTGACAAAAAAGCAAACAGTTGTTTGCTTATTTCACAAATTAGCATTGAGTTATAAGCTCATTTGACAAATGAACAATCAATTATTTGCTCATTTGTCAAATGAGCATTGAATTATTTCAGTAGCTGATGACAATTCTGATTTCATAATCTGATTTCAGATTCTATTACAGATTGTGAGTGCGTGTATGTATGTGTATGTGTGTGTGTGTGCGTGTGTGTGTCTGTGTCTAAGTACGTGTGTCTGTGTATTTATGTGTGTGTGTAATTATTTGATCATTTAAAATTTAATTTGTATGTGTAAACAGGTACAACTTGGTGTTTACTCCATTTACAGGGGTTGACCATCATAAGAGCTGCATTACTTTTGTTGTTGGTTTCATAGCAAAGGAAGATATAGTGTCATTTGAGTGGTTGTTCAGATCATTTCTCAAAGCAATGGGTGGAAATGAACCGAATTGTATGATTACAGATCAAGATCCAGCAATGAAAATTGCTGTTAAAAGTGTGTTTAACAAGACTGAACATCGGTTCTGTATGTGGCACATAATGAAAAAGTTACCAGATAAGGTGGAGAAATCAATCATGCAAGAAGAAATTGGTTTCCTAAAAAAATTATGTACTTGTGTTTGGCATCTTGAAATTGAACCTGCTGAGTTTGAAAAAAGGTGGAACAAGGTGATGGTTGAATACCACTTGAAAGAACATGAGTGGTTAGGTTATATGTACAAGATAAGGAACAAGTGGATTCCGGCGTATTTCAGAGATGTGTTCCTTGGAGGAATAATGCGTACAACATCAAGATCCGAAAGCGAAAACAACTTTTTTAGCTCCTTTATCAATCCTCATGTGTCACTTGTTGAGTTTTACTTGAGATATGAAGCTGCAATTGATGCCTAGAGACACACTCAAGGTCAGAATGATAATGATTCAAAGCACAAATATCCTGAGTGCAAAACACCACTAGGGATAGAAAAGCATGCCTCACATTTATATACTAACTCTGTCTTTTATGAATTTCAATATGAGGTTGAAATTGCTTGTTTTTCTTGTGGTGTTAATGAATTGAAGAAAGAAAATGGATTGGAAGTTGCAAAAGTAAGTGAAGGAAATCGGATTAGAACATTTGATGTTGTGTTTAATCCAACTAACTATGACACCACATGTTCTTGCAAGTTATTTTATAGACAAGGTATTCCATGTAGACATATGATTTGGGTTTGGAAAGCAAAAAGGTTTGAAACCATTCCTGAGCAGTATATGCTACACAGATGGACTACTATGGCACTAAAAAAACCAATTTTTGACTTGCGTGGAAACCTGTTGGAGCAATGTGCTAATTTAATTGACAAGAAAAAATTGTTAAATGACTTATGGTCAGAGATACACACTTGTGTAAGTTTGGCAGAAGGAAATGATGAAGATATTCAAGATCTTGTGATAAATCTTCAAGGAATAAGAAAGGATTTGGAAGCTAAGAGGATTGCAAGAAATAATGAAACAACAGGAAGTGCAAACAACAAAGCACAAGACATTGAGCTATTGATTGGAGCTAATATGCCAACTGAAATAATTGTCAAACCTCCAAAAATTTCAAAGAATAAAGGGACTGGAGTTCATGTATCAAATGAAGAGACTTCAAAAGAGAAAGGGGTTGGGATTGATGTGCCAAATGTTGAAACCAGAGGTAGAAGTGCAAAAAGGCTGAAGGGAGAAAAAGAAAAGGCTGTAGAACAAAACCAGAAAAAGAAGAGATTATGTAGAGGTTGTGGTGAATTGAGTCACCATGATATTAGAAATTGTTCAAAAAAAGTGTAATGATAACTTTATATAAATATAAGATTTAACATTTTTGGCACATCTCCTCATTATAATATTAAACATTTCAATTCAGTAGTTGATCACAATTCTGATTCTAGAAATTAATTTCAAAATCTAATTCTGAATCTAATTACAAAATCTGATTTCAGATTGTATTACAGGTTATGAGTGCGTGTAAGTATGTGCATCTGTTTCTGTGTGTGTGTCTGTGTCAGTGTGTGTGTGTATGTGCATCTGCCTGTGTGTGTCTGTGTGTGTATATGTGTGTGTATCTGTGTGTGTGTGTCTGTGTCAGTGTGTGTGAATGCATATATGTGTGTCTGTGTGCGTGTGTATGTGTATTTATGTGTATATGTGTGTGTAAGTGTGTGTGTGTGTGTTCTTGTTTAAGGGAGGAAGGGGGTTGCAGGTGATTCTGCTATTTTTCAAACAATAAAATGCAACACATAAAAACATACCATAAGAAATAATAAAGATCCTGGAAATTTGTGTTTTAAATTTTGTTAATATTCTGTTGATTTTATATTTCTTAACATAATCAATTATTTACTCATTTGGAAAATGAACAATCAATTTTTTGCTCATTTAGCAAATGAGCAAATAGTTAGTTGCTCATTTGTCAAATGAGCAAATAGTTAGTTGCTCATTTGTCAAATAAGCAAAATTTATTTTTAATCATTCATTAAATAAACAAGCATTTCTTCGCTCATTTATTAAATGAGCAAATTATTCTTTTCTCATTTGTCAAATGAGTAATTTGTTCTTTGTTTATTTTTCAAATGAGTTAATTATTCTTTGCTCATTTGTCAAATGAGCAAATTGTTCTTTGTTCATTTTTCAAATGAGCAAAAACTTAGTTGCTCATTTGTCAATTAGGCAAATAGTTAATTGCTCATTTGTCAAATGAGCAAAGAATAATTTGCTCTACCCTTGACCAAATAATTGTTCTTTGTTTATTTGCTCAAATAAGCAAATAAGCAAATGTTTATTTGCTCAAATAGTTCGTTGCTCATTTGTAAATCAACAAATAGTTCAAATAAACGGTAGGTATAAATGACAAAGTATTTCAGGTAAACACAAAAGTCACCATAATCAAAAGTCACCATTTTTACATCATTCAAAAAATAACAATTTACAAGTTGATTAAATCATTGTTTCTCTACTTCCCTAAAATTAGAAAGCTATGTCAACACCTTAATCAATACTACACCAAGCAAAATATTGAGGTAACACTAACAAGTAGCCTTTTCATCTTAAGCTTTTTCTTCTTCACCCTTTTGTTCTTCAACTTTTTCTTCTTCAGTCTTAGGAGAAACTTTCTTCTGCTTTTTCTTCTTTTGAGGAATTTCTTTAACGGATTGAATTGTGTTTATTTCGCTTGAAATTATTGCCAAGGTGTACTTCACACGAAGTTTTTCCATGATTATCACCTATAAGAAATAGGAAAGAAAAAATAAAACAAGAAAATTTTAAAAAATATAAATGTATAAAGCAGGGTGAAGCACGAAGCACGTAGCACGTAGCAGAAGAATAGAATAAGTAATAAGAAACCCAAATTCTGATTCCTTTACATTTATTTAAAAAGAAAAGTAGCTTGAAATCTTGCTAAAGGTTCACTGGGTTCACTGAATTTTGGTTCAATTGCTCTACAGTTTATAGTCCAAGTTTCATCTGAGTTGGAAAAGGGAAGGTGGATGATTGGTGTGCAAGGTCACTCAGAACCATCTGCTACTTATATTGGACATAAACAGTTTATATTGGACATAAACAGAATTCTATTAGAAGTTGTGGAAATTATGTCTTGTTTTTTTAATTATTGAAATGTTGGTGCAAAGCCTCTACTTCAAGAGAAAAAAAAAAACAGAGTAGGAAGCTGCCTTAGTGTGCTACCTTCTCTGCTATGCATAAACAGATGGAAGCTTGGAAGATTTCACTTATCAAGGATGCATAATCCACAGCCTAGAGCACTAGTTGATGCCAGTTTAAGTATGTGCATGTGTTTCTGTGTGTGTGTGTCTGTGTCAGTGTGTGTGTATGTGCATTTGTCTGTGTGTCTATGTGTGTATCTATGTGTGTGTGTCTGTGTGTGTATCTGTGTGTATGTCTGTGTGCGTGTGTATGTGTATTTATGTGTATATGTGTGTGTAAGTGTGTGTGTGTGTTCTTGTTTAAGGGAGGAAGGGGGTTGCAGGTGATCCTGCTATTTTTCAAACAATAAAAAGAATTCAAATTAATTCAGTCAAATAATTGCTTGCTCATTTGAAATATGAGCAAATTATTGGCTGCTCATTTGACAAATGAGCAAGATTTATTTAAATTTCTATATAAGAATAATAAAACAAAATATCTTGGTGGTGCATATAAACATACTAATATCCTTTTATTATCATGAATTTTCTTTATCATTCAAATTTTCACTTTACATATCCATATTCCTATAAACTCAGAGAGTATTAAAAATTAACAAGTAAAAATTGTACGCCTTGTAAAATCCAGCAAACAAGTACCTAAGGACAATTCATATAAGATGAAAGACTTACATTATTCTTCTTCAAACCTGAAGCCCACTTTGACAAACTCATGTATGTTTCCATAATCCTCATCAATGCAATTCCACAGTGCAAATGATTATTATCTGTAGACTTCCAAGGAGAATCAAGTGTAACATGCTCCATGCACTTGATATCACTTGACAACACAGAGCTCTGTACATTTCCTTCATATTGCATAAAATTGCAAAATGCACTTCTCTGAAAATAAACATGTCAAATGAGAAAAGATAATAGATATTTATAAAATCTAATAATTTTACTGAAATAAGCAAACATAATGTTAATATAAATTAACTTTTAAACCGTACCAAATGTTTTAAAAGCGGTGTATGATCTCCGGAATCTTCACTATAATCAATAACCTCAATATTACCATGCTCTGTGGTAGTGTTGAAACATACCAAGAAATAATGACCTATTTCGTAAACTGGGAAGAAGAAAAGTTGAATGTCCTTCTTTGGGACAACACTTTGGCTGTATAACTTCTGAGCAACCTCACGAAACATAGTATTCCGATAACTAACAGAATCAATCTCATAATGAACAAGACACTCCTACATGTTCAAAAAATAAAATTAAATTAATACAACTGGAATACTGTAAAATACTTCAATAAAATAAAATAAATTAAAGAATATGAACTTACAGTAGCAGTAACATTAAAAAAGAAACGAGCAGGAGAACTTGAGTCTCTAAATTGCTCATTATAATTCAAAATGCTACACCAAGCATTAATGATTTCTGAATCAATTTTAAGGTGAGTATACAGCTTTTCAAGTTGAAATCTCATGACTTTAACATCATGCACTCCATTAACTTTGGATAAAAAGACTAGATCACTGCATAAAGGAATTAAAAAAGTTAATATCACTAAAGCAAATATGAATTAGTATACAAGATAGCAAATTCTATAATAAAAAAAATACTTACAAACGATTTTCTATCATCATCAAACAGAGCTTCCAAGACAGTTTTCTGAACTTCTGATAATGTAGTGTAAATGTTGATAATTCGTGCCTTAAAAGGTGATCTAAGCAGCATTGATGGTTGAACTTTACGCTTCTTCAAAACAGGAACATCAGCACCACCTACAGCACAAGGAACATCAGCATCGGCAGCAACTGAAGGTCGTACAGGAACATCAGCATCAGCAGCTACTAAAGGTTGTATAATAGTTGGGGAGTTCTCCGGATCATCAAATCCTAAACTGAAAGTAGGAGTTCCAAATCCTTTTTTAATTGAAGATCTCAAACCAGATCGAATACTTGAACCTCCTACAACTTTTTCAGTTTCAACTACAATAGCAGGACCTTCATTTTCAGAAAGACTATTTGCTATCTGAACACTTTCAGCCTCAATCTTTGTAACATCAATGGCTCCTGTTACGGTTGGACAATCAGCCCTAGCAAAGACTGAGGATTTAACATTCTTCTCATTAGCAGAAATCTTGGAAAATCTATCCCAAGCTTCAATGACGGCTAGATCTTGCCAATATTCATCGTATTGGCTAAAAGAAAAGCTATGATT